GTTTGAATAAAAACATGAAAAAAGCAAAAGTATCATTTTTTTCTCCATAAATTGGAATATGGGTCCAAAGAATTTCACCAGCAGGATTAAAGAGTTGGGCCTGGGCAGAGAAAGGTGAAGAACAAAAGAGGTTCACCGACGATAGAAAGACGCAACTTTACAGGTGGCAGTAGTGGATGGGCCTCGCGAGCTCTTTATGGGCGTCAATTCGGAAGCTGGAGATCCCTATTTCCCGGATGCGATTTCACAGAGGGAGAGAGCGACGAGAATCGACGGAGCGATTGAGAAAGAGAGGGGGGAATTGAGAGAGATTTTTCTCATTTTTTATGATTAAAAACAAATAAATAATAATAGTATTAGTATTCATATGGGGAGTTGAGAGGAAAGATATAGATGTATTAGGGAGTGCAGAGGAAAATGAAATGCATTGCGGACTGACAAGGAAGATGAATGGTGGATTGGGGATTTAAGAAGAATTATCTGCATAATAATAGGTATCTCCTCATCTCACTATTAGATTGATCGAACATCAATCTCAATCCTACGTAAAAAAAATATATCTCACATTATCTCGTACACTTTGTACATGCGAAATATTTATTATACTCTTACTTTGAACTAAATCATAATTTATTGTGTTTCATCAACAAAGTAAGATATTTAATTTCTAGCTTATGTATCGAATAAAAGTAACGAAAAATAGGGTAAAAAACGTACTAAAATTGAATATCCGACCATCTCGCCGTTGTCGGCCACCACCATTAGTTGCCGTTTGTCGTTCGTCTACCATTAGTTTATTTTTAACAAATCATAAATCATTTTGAAGCTCTCGACTCCGTCTATCCAAACACTTAATTAAATTTATCATATGATATCTCAAACTTTGTATACAATATAACTTTGGCAATTGTTTGACAACTTGACGAATCTTGATGAATTTTTTTTGTTAGGCAAGCAAAACAAATTAAAACATAAATTTTCACTTTGTCTCTATTCCATTTATTTAACTTCTGTATATACTATATACCATATTTAATTATTATAGTAAGTATTAGATAGTAGTATCTATTAGGATATTAGCTCTTACCATATTTGATAAATACATTGCTATAAGATATTTTCTATTACTTATAGGTAAAGGATGGATGGTGTATATAGAGAAAGAAAGAAAGAGACAATCGAAATTGATGAAGAAGATCGAGGCTTAGATATGAAGTTATGAAGATCTTGGACAAGATTTGAAGAATTCAAGTAAACTGGGAAAGAATGATCCTAAGCAATTATGGATCAAAAATTTTGAAGATCTTGATGTGAAGAAATTGAACCAATTTGGAAGGAAATCGAGTCCACGTGGAAGGACATCAAAGGCATAGCGCAATGGGAAGGCTCCTTACCATCTTGGAGTTTGTGTATATGCATGCACGAAGACTCATAGACATGATTGTTGTAATTAGGACTGAGCATGGGGTTTGGAGATTACCAGACCGTTCTGAAAACCAAACCGAAAAATATTCGTTGACTATTTAAGTATCTCCGAACCGAACTGTACCGAGTTTTTTTATATGGTCCTGGAGATTCATAAAATATTCATACCCAGAACAGAACCATACAAAAAATAATTGTACCGAACCGAGGAACCGAACAAGAATTGACTTCAATTTATAAAATTCATATACATATAATATTTTACCTTATGTTTTTTTTTCATCTTTGTACATAATTGCATTTAAAATTGAATTGTAAAAAAATTGATATATATTATGTCTATGTCCATAAAATTATCATAAACTATATTTAAAATTGAAATGTGAATAAACATCCAGTGTAAAAAGAATTTAATAATTAAAAATAATAATTATTTTATTTTCGTACCACATAAGACATTATTAAATATAAGATTTCATTTTCAAATCAGATTTTTGAAAAGCAAATTAAATTAATATTTTCTTCCTATCACAAAATTTGGTAGCCAACACGTCAAATATTTTATTATGAAAATCATTAATTATAAGTTAATCATATTGAAATATCGAATGTTTGGAAACTTACCTTTCTGAAGTAAGCCTTTCACAAAATTTGAGAGAATTATTTATTTAATTGGGGGTTACAAAACGGTTATGGGATATTTTAATTTTAAATGATGTAAACATATCGAGAAGAATAGATACATGCAAAGGAAAAGGCGAGACACTGATGTTGTCGATCGGCTGTGACGACCGACAAGGAGATTGTTTTTTCGAGATTTTTATTGAAGGATTGTATACTAAGTTTACAACCATATGAAATATATGAGGGAACTATGTGTTTGATGAGTGTTGTGTATGATCATAGTTGATCTCCTATGAGGATGTGAGTATTTGTATTTGCGATGATGTCCCTCTCTTTTGACTTGGAGGGGGTTGATATTTATACACAAAAATGATGAAAGAACATTAAATGTTAGGTGTCAGTTAGGGGCGTAGGGTAGCATCACATGTATCCATGTAGTGCTCGACTTTTGAGGATGGGACAATTGAGCGGCGCCCTTTATCAATCCTTTGTTCAGACTACAGGTCATCGTCAATCTTCCTCCAGAAGACTCCGAGGTCGATCGGGGGATCAACAAACCTAATCCTGCGATCCTGGGCCGTTCGCGAGAGGGTCCGTGCGCCTTCTAGATCTTGTTCCATATTTTGGGTTGTGTTCGCTCGGGGAACTTTGTGTTTAGATATTTTTGGGTACAACAAGTTTATAACTATTTATGAATGATTTTGTTTAAAATATTGTATTTGTTCAATACTTTTCAAAACATACATACAATAAATATGTAAAAGGCTTGAAATTAAACACACTTTGTTAAAGAAACAAAATATACTTTGATTTATGTTTTCATGGACTCTGCAAGTTCGGTTTCGTATCTCTACCAAAAGGCAACAGTCATCAATTTTTCACTCTATTGAGCTGCAAATCACTGCAAACAAAGGTAGCACAGTTTCTCTCCTCCTCTCTATGGGTACGAACTTCACACAGTAAGTCGCGTATCTCTCACCCTCTCTCCTAAATTATCACATGCATGTGTGCACGCAAATAGAATTTGGTTAAAAGCTAACGAAAATTGGCTGTCAATTGTGCGAGGTTTGGCTTTGTCTCAGTTTTCATGGTCTTATCTTCTACTTTACAGTCTCTTTCGGTTTCTCTTGGTTTTTGGATGTTTGATTAAGTAAAGCTTGAAGGTTTCAATTTAAGTCCTCTCTGAATATTGTGTCTTTATCTTATATGTCGTTCTTGCTGATGAACGGTGAATGGAGGTCGAAACAGAGGTTACACTGAATCTTCATTATAGTACTGTAATACATTACTTAAGAAGGTTCCTCCTAATAATCAATCCCTCTTTTAGCATGGACGCTCTTCAGATGCTACAATAACATTTTTATGTTTTATATTGCGAAAATAATGGGGTAATCAAACACTTTGCTTTTCAGAATGAAGCATTTTTCCCCTTTACTATGAAGACAATGCGAGAAATATTTTATTAATCTTTCACAGTTCCTTCTGTCTGTCCTCATCCCGTTGCTTCAAATTGTATGTTTGGTTGATTTGCCTTATATTTCAATTAAATTGCAGGCAATTTGTGTTCTACTATTTTGTGGATAGACTTTGCGAGTTATGTGTTTCAAAAAGTTTTTAAACGGTCTAATTACTTCTCATAACTTAAATTAGTGACAAACTTAACTTTGTAGCAGCTGGATATGAATTTTGTAAAGTAAGAAGTTAGACGACATGTAGCAGGTTCACATAGTCTTGAATCGATGAAGCTTTAAGAATAAAGGAACATCAAAGATTCTTAGTAAGAAGAGATGCTCGATTATTGGTGATACTAGTCCGGTTTTCTTACATATAACTAAAGTGTTTTAGCAAATAAAATATGAGTGTTATGGTTTGTTCATGGACAATGAGATGTTCTGTCTGATATTGGAATAATATCTTCCATGTCAATTGACACATCGAGAACATTCTAAATAAATAGTTTTATGATGTGACATGGAAGAATGAAATCTTCGCAGTTTCTAATTTTCTTCTGCTAAAAAAGGCCTCAAAATCTACCCTTGTGTTCTATGATACAAGTTTCTTTAGACAATATCTAAGTTGATATTTCAATAGGTAAGATAATGTTCGGTTTATCCGTTCTTATGTCCACGGAAAAGAAGTGCGTATAAGTAAATAACTGAGCCTATTGCATCATCAGTAGATTAGATACAATTTGAGGAAATCGATCATAATGAGATGCAATTTCCTTTCTAGGAGTTTGTCACATGCTATTCTCTATAGGTTTCACCTTTACAAGGTAAGCCTTCTATATATCCTGGATCTATTTAGTTTTGCATTCGTTCTTCTCGCCTACTTACATTGAATCATATAATTGAAGATCTTTTGGATTTAAATTTCTTGCCTTTTTCTTTTTACTGGCGAAGCCCCTATATTTTAGCACTATTGATTCTTGAGTTCTTGTTGTTCCACTAATATAGATGTGTGCCTTTTGAAACGTGTCTCCTTCTAGAAGTAATTGGTTTATCAGCCTATCATTTTTCAGACTACACCGTCTTGTATAAAGATCAGGTGTAAACATCTTTTGAAGGGTATCAGTTTTCGAGACTTGAGTGGAATGCTGGCGAATTGAAAAAGGAGGGTGAATGTTAATTTTACTTTAGAATCCTGTAATTTTCAGTTTGGTGTCCTTATGTGGTTCTCTGTGTGCTGATCTCTTGAAATGGCCATTGCTCCATTATGATATGTTTTGGGGTTATCTAGTTTATGGTTTGTCATAATCCACTTAGGAGATTGTTTTCTTATGTATTTCATCAAATACTTTTATTTTATGTCATTTTTGTTAACAACGATTCATCTACAACCTTTTTCTAGTATGTAAACGGTCTCTCTGGAAGGCAACTGTATATCTGTAGCCATGAAGAGGCCCTTGCCATCTAATGAGCAATTAGAGATTTCATCAGACGATTCGTCGTCTTCTTCTTCCTCTGATGCAGACAATGATGTCTTTAGGAGCCAGCAACTTAATGATGGACCACCTGAATTATCTCAAGAAGGTATTTCAATTACAAAAAAAAAAAAACAAACAAAAAAAAAAAAGAAAGAATTTTGTAGTGTCTGGCATTGTTTCAGTTACCTGTGTTGCATAATGCATATCATCTTGGCTGTTTTGGAGTTGCAACATGTTCTGCCGTTTACAGGATAAATATTTTGTGAGCAGTTTGAATTAAGTTCCTTACCATTCATAGGAAGCTGCAATTTTTAGCCTTGCATCGCACTTCGTCATGCGTTACACTTTATGATGTGGCTTGCTGTTTAGCCTTGCGTACACATCATCATGCATACATGAAGGTCACAGGAAATTAAAAATAAAAAAAATGTTCATGTTTCGAATAAGCATGTTGAATTATGAATTTTTTGCTCATTTGCCACTGTTTACTGGAAGCATTGCAGTACAGAACTTGGTCTAATTATTCAATAACTCAAAGAAACTCGAATGTGGTTATGTATCCTCAATAATAAGGATTCCACTTTTGTTGTCTATGGGCTGAGTTTTTTCTGCTACTGGATTAGATCCTATAAATTACAACCATTAACGTTTATAACCTCAAGAATAAAGCATGAAAATTATTATTTTTTCCCTCCATAAAAAAAATGTGATTTGAAATGCAGCATGGCTGTCGAGAAGAGCCCAAAGCTACCAAGAGTACATGAAGCTGATCCCTATCCCAACCAATCGAAGCACAGTAATCCCGTACACCTCGTGGACCGGCCTAGGCAGCTCGATGAAGCAAATCTACGAGCAGCCATTGCACTATCTGACCAATATCCAGTTGAGATGTATGGACCAAGAAAGGCTTGCTGGTACAGCTGTCCCACTATACATGATCATCCACCCGTGCAAGGCCCAGGCCAGCATCTGGATCTTGAGGAGGCCCACCGCTGACATCATCGCCACATCAGCTCGTCAAACTGTGGGAAGCAAATACATCTTATCATGCGCACATCGATCACATATTTCCCCAGCTGAAGGTTTGACAAGTCACCCATTTGTTGATGATGTTGGGATTTTGTTTGGATTTACTTACTGTCTTCTTTTTTACTCTCTTTGTTGTTTGGGAAGTTAAGTTCGGAGTTGTTTGAATCAAATTGAAAATTCTGGTTTAATTAGTAAATTT